AGCTGAACAGCCGTGGAGCAACAGCTCAACACCGTCCGGTTACCGCGCATACTGAAAAGACGGGATGAGTATACCATGTTTCAGCACACGAGACATATTTCGAGCATCTTAACCTCTCGAATGAAAGGAGAGTTATTCCACAGAGAATGTTTATTCCGCACGATTAATCAACTCATACCGACCTTGTCGTACAACAAAGCGGAACATTTAGTTGGTGCTCTCAAAAAGCTGGACAATCTGGAAAGTAACTGAAAACGCGGACGCCAATTTCCTGCGGTGGCCCCATTCAATCGCAAAAGGGGAGTTCATAGGAAACCTATCCTGGATGGCGTACAACAACAACAACACCCGAACTCTTCGTGATCTCTTTCACGCATTTCTACCAAATCATGCGCTGTCCACTTCGCAGTTTACGCCATTCTGAAGGAGGCGTAGAGAACAACACTCGTCTCGGTAGACGGTGTTTCAGCATACGCAGTACATGACCGAGCCATCGTATTCGGTGGTGCTGGATGTTTTCCGTGACTGAAATACCTGTCGCACAACCAGATGCCCGTTTTCTTGTCATCTGGTTACTAACATGATGACGCCACCCAAGACCAGTAGTGCTTCTGAGACATCGGTGGTCGAAAACCTGAAGACGCCTCACATCATGTACCCGCAGGGGCTATGTCTCGCCCCCATACAACAATACAGCCCCTACTGTAGTCTTAAGATCTAGTGAGATGCCTTTTTGACGCTACAAATAACACAAATTAGCAAACGTGATTCGAGTCTTTGAGATTCTCGCACTGACTTCATCAGACACAATTCCGTCGGAGTTAATACAACTACCGAGGTTTGTAAAATTCTCCACAACATCCAATGCTTCCCCTTGAACTCTAAAGAGTTTGTTCAGGGGCTGCACGATGTGAAGCTTGATCTTTCACTTCGAAGTTGCAAGGCGCAAGCCAAAATATGATATGATGGTGGTTGGTCTATTAAACAGGGCTCGTTTCCAAAGATGGGGGCAATGTGGTCTAAAGATAAAATACATAAAAGTCCAGATCGACAGGACCAACACAAGCAACGATTTGAACGTTTTGAAAACCTTTCAGCGCTCACCTCATTAGTTCATCAATGATAAAGTTGAACAGATCTGGAAAGAATGGACAGCTTTGTCGAACACCGCTTTTTGAAAGGAGGCTTTTGGGAAGCTCACACGGCCAGAAGTATGTGAATACTGGGGTCGGAGTATGTTCACAAAATTCTGCGGCACACCCTGTTCAGCAAGTGTGCTTAGCAGCACTGACCATTGGCGCGGAATCGAACGCGCCCCTAATGTGAAGGAACACCAGCGTTTCGGACCATTCGTACACATGGACGCTGCCATAACAGATGACAAATTGCGAGGATGTAAGGATGGAAAACCGCCGAGGAATCCAAAGAGATTGGGAAGTTTCGTTTAAGAGTTTCACTAGATTAATATTAGACCAAAGCAAAATTTGGAAAGTCCTTCGTATTCAATCATTTGAATGTGCTAACAATCGAGGCAAGAGCCACATCCCGCCAAGACATAGTTTGGGGACAACCAAGCTTCTTGTTTGTTCCTCAAAGGCCCGACAAGAAGTGAGGAGGTCAGCATCAGGTGTACGTTAGAGTCTCACCACTGAAAGTGCGTCTCGTATGGTTGTCAGAGTAAAACGTTAAACAAAGACTGTGGATGCCGATTAAGGAAGCACGACGCTTTAAACTCCAAAGCTAACTGACGAAATTTGGGCTGAATATAGAGAAAAGTCAGGTGCGGCTCGATAAATTCTCCTAGTGACACGTTAATAACTGTCGAGAATGAATGTATTAGTGAGCATCCTTCAAAGTAACCGCCTGAGAATCCACTGGGAGAAGTGACACCTGCGGTCAGTCCGATAGTCACCGAACCACCAAATGTTCAAACTACTATTTTGGAGTCACGGGCTCGAATTTCATGAGATGCGCACTGCTGGCGACTCTCGGTAAGGATGAGAAAGCTGTACAACAGAGGTTCTCAGCTTTTAGACAAAGACCAACTTCCGTAACACGATGAAGCTCTGGTTGAAATTTAATAAATCTACTCATACTATCATCAATTAGTATAGAAACTGATTTTAAACGCAGTCTAAAAACATCGTGAAATACCGCACACAATTCTTTTGCGGCTCGTACCAGTAGGATCCCTAGGAACTTCTGGTAGGCTGCACCAGAGCAACGGTAGATTTCATAAGTTTTTTGGCTACTTATAAATTGAAAGTAGGCGAGCGCCGAGAGTTTCTTAACCGACAACGCAGAACGAGTGGGAGATACAAACAGGCACTCCGAAGGAGTTCTTTCCAATCTGTTCAGCTTCACCGGCCGTTGCTTCAATCTTCACAACTTCTGTAAATACATTCAACTCCCTACCCTGCTTATAGAGCTGCATCGTACACGACTTGAAACCAACTGTAATCCCCAGGTGCGCCATTTGAACGAACCAATCGGATTCAGTAATTTCAAATTTTTTCATTTTATTCGTGGCATGCAACTACGTATGCGCAAGACTCAGTAAACGGATCAGAGCCTCGACGCGCAGCAGGCAAACTACCAGGAACATTGAATTTAGCTCCACACTTCACGAATCCGACGTGAGATTTAAGCGAAAACCCCTGAAATTTTTGCAATTTTTTCGTATTGATGGGCAGAAATGAACTGACACCTGCTTGAGATTTGATAAAATCAAATCGTCTGGTGCGCTTAAATGAACTAAATGATAGTAGACTGCTGTTTTGAAAGGTTTTATGTCGACGAACTTAACTCGGTGGAACTGAAAGGTCAACGGACGATGGGCCAGAGGCCATCGATTTTTTCAGTGGATCATTGTGAAGAACTGACTGGGGGACCGTGTATTTATCGTGATCGAGTCAAAGTGTGACTGGATGTGAGGTCGTCACATTTGGCCAGGTGGTAAGACGCGATGAAAAGAAGCTGGCTTTTTCTCAGTGAACAAAATGTTTTTGCGCTTCGGCTTGAAACGGGTCGTGTGTTGTGCGAATTTTTATTGGCTGACAGAAATGTCGAAATTTAGAGCTTGGTCGAAGTTCTCATCAGTCATATTGTTTACAAGTGGACTGTCTATACCACGCAGTTCTCGGCATTCGGCAAGTCACTAATAAGCTGGTGATATTGCCAGCTCAATTACGTTAGTTTCGTGCGAATAATTACCTGAACGAGAAAAATTCCTAATTGTCACACAAGGAAAGCGTTCAGGACTCACGAAATAGAAAAGAAGCAGTTGACAGGTAAAAAGAATGAAGGTCACTCGGCTATCCGACGCTTTATAACGTGGTTGGGTGAATTTTGAACTTCAGCACCGGAAAATCATACATAGCCCCTACACCAAATCAGTCTCCGTTAGGACAAAAGGCCTTTTGATTTCGTGCAATTTGGGGTTCAAGTTAGACATGAGGTTGATGGAAACTCGGGGACTGCACCTACCTGGTGAGCCTCAATAATGGCGAAACCGGTCGTGGGCTGTCGGCGAATCTTCAGCAACCTTATGAGTAGTACATTACAAAGATATACATGTATCGCGATACCTCGAATATCGTAGTACTTAAACATTGGTGCAGTACACTCAGTTGCCTGGAAACATCACAAACGAGAGATTCAGCTGGGTTCCAAGTGAGTCTGTCGCGAAACCAAATTCGTTTGCAAATGAGTGTATTTCGCTGCCTTCTGGATTACTTCATAAGACTGACTACATTTGATTTCCTTGCGGGAAGCGAATACTTTTTCCTGGTGCTAATAAATGATATCGAGATGCTCAGTCGGAACTTTGTTGTCTGACTCGGTCGTTCCAGCGAGTGTGGACACGGATTTTTCCTATTTCAGACTGCACGTTCAGTTTCACCCAGCATCTCTGAGTGTAAAAAACCGCGAATGGGTTAATGGGCTTGCGCGGTCTGATCTGGTTGCATTTGGAGGATAGACCGATGAAAATACGGAAGCTGCAAGATGTTTCGACCATCTGGGACAGTCGGTTTCAAAGAACACTGTCTTCGCAGTCAACATCAGATGGAACCGAGGGTGCCCTTAAGCTGTAACTCTCACACAAACGCTGTACGTACACCAGGTTCACGGTAGAGGAATGTGAACCTAAAACACTCCTGTTGATTCCATAGCTCTATTGGAGTGAGACGTTGAACTTGACGAATCGTGACACAATGGTAACTCATGGTATCTTCAAACCACTCCACCTCCAAAGTTGAATCATGCGTGCTGGGCTTTATAGCGGCCCCACTGACAAACACTCAGACTGTGGGGCGGTTCTGAGCATCCATCTTGGTTCGTTGATCAGCTGGTGTCTCGCCCAACCGTAGTGTTTAGTAGCCTAAACCTAATGTAGATTTTACCGGAACGTGGTACAGTAATGGTCGTTGAATTGGGTTCCTCATTTCGCCAAATACTCTCCGTTGTACGCTAATTTGGTTTTGATGACAGACGCAACTGAATCCAGATGAACATCCTGTTTATGATGATCATTTTCTTCATTTTTGATCTCTGTGTGCTATATGGAATTTTTTCAATTATAAAGTAAAAACAACGTAGTTGTAATCCGGCGTTCGGTTGCCGTGGGCGATCTTTCTCAAAGATTTCCACAATCATTTGAATACGAATGCAGCCACATTTGGGTGTGCCGTTTTTATTCGACACGCTAACTGGTAAATGATCCGTCTCGTCTGTCACGATCGCAAAGTGCCCCTATCGATTTCCTGTTGTTTCTCTCTCTCTCCCAGCCAAGGAACAGTCAACAGCGTGTCAGCGTTTGTCGCACTAATCACGCAATGCGCCAGTCAGTGAGGGGCACACGCACGCACGCACGCAGGCACGCACGCACGTACATGTAAGCATGCACACAAGCCACGCGATGGTTTGAGCTTGTGACCGCACCACAGCACACGCATAGAAAAAACAGACCAAACAAAACCCACATTGTGAATGGCGTCTCGGCCACAGCTGCAGCTCTGAACTGGAACAATGAGCAACGTGAAGCCGTTTGTCTCGGTTGAAGATGTGCGCAATATCGTGGAAAGGTACTATGACATTGTGGCCCAACAGGTGGATGAACTTGTCTCGTACGATGATCGCAACTTTCGGATTCAAACGAAAAGTGAACCGGGTACCACCAGCAATGACGGCACAGTCTATCTGCTCAAAATCTCCGGGTTTTTGGAGCAGAAAAGCGAGGAAATTTTGGGTAAGTTAGAATGTTCACGGTTGTGTGGCGTCCAATAGGAGAAGCCCCCACTCACGGTGATTCTGTTAGGGAGAAGCCGTCCCGTTTTGATGAGCTGGATTCACTCATGCACGTGCTGTTGAGGGGTTTGTTGGTATGGGACAAGAATCCTCTGGCTGGATGTGGAACAATGCACCGCTTTTTCGGTGATTGGGTGACTACTGATTCGATTTTTTCCATAAACTAGGCACGCCCGCATGGTAAGTCATTTAAAACGGTGGACGCCAAGATAGTGACCGGTTCTTTTTGCTTAACGAAAACGTCTCTACACGTACAAAACACTGACTAAATAGTTACTAATAATAGCAGTCAAGCTTGTGTTTATGTCCTCCTCTCCAACGACGCTAGCCGACTAATTTGGAATGTCTCCTCACCCGTCTCTACGCCAATGACGAGCATTCATAAGTCACCCGGGTCCTAGGCATAAGTCAATCTGAATCGCCTAAAATTTCTAAACTTCTCCCAGAAGAGGTGATGTTTCATTCCAACCCTTGCACTTTCTTCACACTTGAAGCTGCTCCAATGCAAAATACCAAGCCTAGTCTCACACAACCGAAATTATTTCTCTGGAGGGTATGAAGCACCTTTATCGTACAATTTCGTACACATTTCCCCAGTGGATCTCAAGGGACAAGCTTGGGGCTCAGGTGAAATCCACAAACTCTTGATTACACTCTGCCTGCTTAGAGACGGACCGTTACACGATCAACATAGCCTTAGGTTCACTCTACTCAGCCTTGTCGACCGTCAAACATGCTAGTTAAATTGCCCGAACTACCGTTAAAAGGAAGAAGGCCTTCACTGCGGGGTTATTCATTAGGAAATGCCAACTGACCGGTGACAGACCATTGGACAGGGAAGCAAAACTCGCATTTGCATCTACTTTACAAAAACTGGACACCCAGCTTCTCCCGAACGCGTCTTCTTGAACTTTCCTGGAGATTCATTAACTTTACTCATTCGTCGGTCAAATCCAAGCAAATGTTACAAAGTGGCTGCGCAAATTCCGCAACAGATCTCCCCTTTTCAAAAGACGCAAAGCGAAATTCTACGAACAACACATACTACTCGCGTGCCTCCCCATCAATAGTATCACCGTTACACCGTGAGGAGTGACCGACATAAGGCTTAAGATCAGTTGCAAAATTGAGTTCACTTGGTCTGAGGATGCTGTCAAGTTCACATAAACTTTTATCGGACACCCGTTTATGATATTTTCGATTGTGTTCTCCCCATTATGGTATCCTTTTATGGGATGCGCTGTTTCATCTTTCAGATGACACGATATTCGAGATATCGCAGCAAATTTCCTTGACAGAGCACGCTACTTAAAAAGCAGCACGTTCGGGTGACGAATATCATAAGCGTGATTCATTGGAATTTCCCGCTTACACACACATGAGATGATTTCATCATTTAGGCGCGATTTGCAGAACCTACGGTTGGCTGTCGAACGGTTCTCAGTAGACATGTGAGTAGTGTGTTGTCAAGAGCATTCTTCGGAGTTATTTCACTATCTTATCGAGTGTGTTTCAGCTGGACATAGAGATCCGTCTCTGTTTAAGCAGAGATGACCTTTCGTCTCAGGAGCAGTGCAGTATTAGTCTGCAACTCAGCTCTGCAGTACACGTCTGATAAGGCGTCAAAAATGATATGTGAAAATTTGTGCGAGACTTTGTGCGGAAATTCGCATGCTGTTCGATTTGTCCATTTCATTGCTTGAAAAAGACATTATTGAGAGGTTTGACACTTTACTGTTTATCTGGAAAAGCTGATACGCTTCCTGCTTTGGAGGATCAAGGCATACTGGGGACGAATGGGCAGTGAAGGAGCAAACAGTACTACTTTCCGGATAACCTCAACGATGTGTACCTCGGTTTGAGTGAAGGAGAGCCAAGCGCAAAAACTAGTCTATCATGCATGCAGAACGCTTTTCGAATTTGTTCTGGCCTGAACAACAGTAGCATGCTAATAGAATGCGTCATCCGTCGGGTGCATTCAAACAACCTGTCGGTGTAAGCGCCTCATGCCAGTACGCCTTTGTCACGTGACACACTTGCCGTTCCAGTTTAAACTAAACATTCAGATAAGACCGGTTAGCTGACTACGTTTCTACCCTTCTGGTTGGATGAAAAAACTTCGCCGTTCACTACAATATGTGTTGTTATTTTAGTCAGTATACGTTTGTTGACCTGAATAAGAGATCCAGAAACTCGTGGTCATCTTCTAACAGCTAGTTAGCTCAGCTGACAAGAATTTCAGTATCACTCAAGGTTGCGAAAACTTCGCTCATGCAGTTTAGTGAGGACTGAACTGGTGACTCCTCTAATCGTTCGTTGCAGCAAGGCTTTAGAGATTTGTTCATGGTAATCGGTGTTAAAACTGGCTGTACGAGATCTCCAATCGGTAGGTTGTTTAACGCACAGTCGGTCGAGTCAGTTCCACTAGCCTAGCGATCTCCTGACGTCCCGAGGATACACGCGCATGAATGAGGCAGTCTGGGTGACGATATGGGATACTGAAAACAATCTGGTTGCAGGGCCAAGAGTTATTCTTATCTCAGACATAACACAGTCAAAACACCAGCAATGTTAACATTCTGTGAATGTGGCATAAACTGACGGGTAATGTCCCAGCGGGGGGTCGAAATTTGGAAATGCCGGCTGGATATGGCAACGCGGGAAAGGATGTCTCACTTTCAACAGGATCAGCTCGGATTGTGAACAAATCAGTCGAGCGTGAAATGGAACTAACAGAATGTAAGATGGAGCAGTGAGGATGGAATGTCTGACCGATTAAGGACACACAAACAGTACCGTTCTCAACAGTTCGAGCGGAGTGCTTTTTGGGAAGAATAAAACCGCGATAGGCAGTTCGATGGTCGTCACCTCGAAGGGGATTAAGAGTGCCTTGTGCTATAGAGCCAATAATCATAGGGGGGGGGGGGGTCGAACTTTGGAAGTGCCGGCTGTAAACATCCGAACAGCAAGATCTGGCAACGCGAGAAAAAATGTCCCATTTTCAACAGGGTCAGCTCGGATTGTGAACAAATCAGTCGAGCGTGAAATGGAACTGACAGAATGTAAGATGGAGCAGTGAGGATGGAATGTCTGGCCGATTAAGGACACACAAACAGTACCGTTCTCAACAGTTCGAACGGAGTGCTTTTTGGGAAGGCAATAGGCAGTTCGATGGGTGTCACCTCGAAGGGAAATAAGGGTGCCTTGTGCTATAGAGCCAATAATTATATGACAAAAACAGAAGGCACGAATAAAACGAGAATTCTCGCAAACGAGTAGATTATTTTGATCCCAGCTGTATAGTTAGACCTCTAACGTCTCGAAGATGCACACGCGGTGATCTTTGACCCATTACAAGGGATGAGACGTTCCACATAACTCTGCTTCGAAGAACCCTATGAACAGGTTCGCTTCAAGCAGGAAGTGTGCCAAAATACTGGTAGCTCGGGCGTGTTCGTTGACGGTAGCTATTGATTTATTCACCGAGCTCGGCAGTTAGCTTGCAAACGTTTCGTCACCAATCGACATGGTCCACCGAGGTTTTTGTAGACATCGTTTCTGTGTGGATTGTTTGTTTACGGAGAATCCGTGTTGGTTTCTGCCCCTATTGACGCCAATCGATTTGCTCATGTGTACTAAGCTGAGACAGCATCAGCAAAATAGATCTATGGTTGGCAAATTGATTGCAAACGTTTCATCACCAATCGAGGTGACATCATCAGTGCGCTACTGTGGAGCGTAGGAGTGCGTAGCACTCGGCTGGTGATGAAACGTTTGCAATCAAATTGCCCAGCTCAGCGAACAGGCCAATGACCACCATCTATGCTACCTGAGCTACCAACATTTTCCTCTATAGAAAATAGATCTATTTACTATGTGGTTAGAACGCTAATTTATTGACCGAAATGTCCGTGGTTCGAACCCGAACTCTGCTTCCTGACTTCCCCTGTCTAGGCTTGGGCAACCTGCCAGTATCCCAGCCCTCGTTTTTCCTTCGGGTGGCATGGCAGTTAGGCATTGAAAGGGTGTTCCGGCTGAACGGTTATTGATTATGATATCTATTTACAAACTATTTTATTTTCAAAGGGAAACTCAACTGAATCCCAACTGAATCTCTCGTTTGGAGTGACTTTCTTCAATTGAATGTGCTACACAACGGCAACCTCATGTTTCGTGCTATCGCAGCGTACCTTCTTGAAAGAACACACTACTCGTGAGGACTACATTCTACTCAAATAAAGAATATCATAAAGAAGAGATTCGTTTGATTCTCACAACTGCTTTCACAACTGACTCTATCTAATTATCCACGTAAAATTTGGTGTTCAAGTAGGTTTAGAGAAACATTCGAGAAACAGTCTAGAAAAAGGCGTTTCTCTACAACTTTGTCCATTTATTAAGAGGTCAACCGGAACTCGAGATTATCAGTATTTTATCGTATCAGATGTTCCGTGTTTCACACGAGTGAATTTCAAGGTGAAACCCCGTAGACGTCAAGCAGCTTCCTACCATAATCGCTTATCCCTACTTGCTTTGTAACCAACAGCGTCGGCACCCTTTACCGGTAACAGGAATCTACAGAGACAATAAGCCAGTTGGCATCCACAACTTGTTCCTATCTGATTATCCGCCGGCATTTTTCTAGAGGTAGTGTTGGACACGGCACGATCCCTCTCGAGAGCAGCTATCTCACTCGTTTGTCTCTTACGAGGTTTCATAATCACAGTGTCCTCAAAATCCAGCATCCCATCTGTTTTTAACCTCATGAGAAGGTTTTTGTCTGTCTATATCCCCAAGAAGGTGAACAATACCCATTTTCTCCTCTCCTATGACGCGCTGCTAACGCGATATTCTTATCGACGTAGCCATCCATAATGGGATTATGCAATATCTACATGATCAGGGACTGCTGGTGCAAAGACCGCTTCTGTCAGTGAACCAAAGGACCGTGGAAACCATTGATCTCCCCACTTCTCACTCTGATCCAGGTGAGTGAGTGTGCAAGTGCCGTTTAGCTGCCGCAAAACCCTCTTGGGTTAGATAGATAGATAGATAGATAGATAGATAGATAGATAGATAGATTGGATAGATAGATAGATAGATAGATAGATAGATAGATAGATAGATAGATAGATAGATAGATAGATAGATAGATAGATAGATAGATAGATAGATAGATAGATAGATAGATAGATAGATAGATAGATAGATAGATAGATAGATAGATAGATAGATAGATAGATAGATAGATAGATAGATAGATAGATAGATAGATAGATAGATAGATAGATAGATAGATAGATAGATAGATAGATAGATAGATAGATAGATAGATAGATAGATAGATAGATAGATAGATAGATAGATAGATAGATAGATAGATAGATAGATAGATAGATAGATAGATAGATAGATAGATAGATAGATAGATAGATAGATAGATAGATAGATAGATAGATAGATAGATAGATAGATAGATAGATAGATAGATAGATAGATAGATAGATAGATAGATAGATAGATAGATAGATAGATAGATAGATAGATAGATAGATAGATAGATAGATAGATAGATAGATAGATAGATAGATAGATAGATAGATAGATAGATAGATAGATAGATAGATAGATAGATAGATAGATAGATAGATAGATAGATAGATAGATAGATAGATAGATAGATAGATAGATAGATAGATAGATAGATAGATAGATAGATAGATAGATAGATAGATAGATAGATAGATAGATAGATAGATAGATAGATAGATAGATAGATAGATAGATAGATAGATAGATAGATAGATAGATAGATAGATAGATAGATAGATAGATAGATAGATAGATAGATAGATAGATAGATAGATAGATAGATAGATAGATAGATAGATAGATAGATAGATAGATAGATAGATAGATAGATAGATAGATAGATAGATAGATAGATAGATAGATAGATAGATAGATAGATAGATAGATAGATAGATAGATAGATAGATAGATAAAATGGGTTCATAAACCAATGTATCAATTAAGTACTTCCCCTTCGCATGATCGAATATCCACATGTTTGTATGAGCAATTCTTCAGGAACATTCACTTGGATGAAAAGTGCTGCCTGAATGGGGATAGTAATAACATCACCATTCGTGGCATACCGAGCTTCAGACGGACTATCTGATATTTTTACGGGAACTCTTGATGGGCTTGCGCTCGATGGCGATGCGGATTTTGATGCTTGAAATCCGAAATGCTTTGT